TTCAATGTATATAAAGTTCAAGAACAAGCTTAATTTATGGAAATATGGTAGGCAGTTAGATAGACATGAGAAGAGCAATGATGGGGCAGACTCAGAAGGTCACCAAGACAGAAAGCCCCTGGGTGCTCAGCAATGGGCAAAACTGGGAAAACAAGGACCTTGATCCCAGGGTAACCTTTCCTCACCTGGCAGGTTGCTAGTCTCAAGGGTTGGATTCCCCTGAGAGGGAATAAATAAGGGAGACGCAGAAAAGCCCTGAAGCATGAATCCCCCAGGACAATGAGGTTCTAGCCCTCATCAAATACATCAAGGCCTTATTTATGTTTCAGCTCCAGGCCCAGAAAAGCAGCAAAACCAGACAAGTGAGGCTGTGGCTAACATCAGGACCAGTTGCATTGACTAATGACCCCCTGTCCTGGCACCAACCAATCAGTAGAGATCACAACCCTGAAAAAAGTGCTAATGAATATTCTGTTGTGATCCTCTCCTCAGACCTCCAGATACAAACACTTAAAGGGTGACCCAGTGTGGCTCAGTCTCCCACCTTTCCCCACCTCCTTCAACGCTGAATGACCTTCTATTACCTCTGTAACTTGTTTCCTGGCCCAATTTCTTCTACATCTCACTTTTTAAGTATCTGTGCCTTTCTAAATAAACTTTCTCTTATATGTTGAGTCTTGGCTCTGAATTCTTTCTTAGCCAGAACTCAAGTACTGAGGTTGCTGAACTGAGGACCAATCACGGGTAACATTCTAGTGGCATTTTGCCACTAACAGAAACAAATCAGAACAGTGATTGTGGGGAGGAAAGGGGAGAAATGATTGAAAAGAGGCATAGGAAACTTTTGGGGGTGTTAAAATATTCTATTTCTTAAATGTAGATAGTTACATAGATCTACACACTTGTCACAATTAACAGGATTTTTAGTATATGAATTATAACCAACAAAACTAATTTAAATCCAAAATGGTATCTTACTTCTGGATATCAAGGATACCCAGCTAAGGTGCAGTATAATCTCTTGCCAAAAGCTAATTATATATTGGTAATAATAATAAACTTATAATAAACTAAATCAAATTCCAAAACACAAATCCTACTCTAAGTTTACCCACTACCACAAAGATACAAGGATAATTTTAGCCTATAGTAAAATATGTGAGGGTTCACAGAATGAATGAGAACAATTCGCATGTCTTCTAAAACAGGTGGTCACTTTTGACTACCATAAAATATAAATACAACTTCATGTTAAAAATTAATTTCCCCCACTTAAAGAATATTTTCGCTGCCTACTAGCAATCTTTAAGAAGTGTACTACTTACTTTCAGTAACACCTATTTCTAAATCACTTTTCCTGATCTCTCTTCCTAAGTTTCCTTCTTTTTAACTACTTCACTCTTGAATAATCCTTACTTTTTACCCTTTGTCCAACTCCCTTGTTTGTCTATAACTGGCTTGCTAATATTTTCCTATATCTTCAAGCAATTAAAAACATTTTGCATTCTAACATTTTGAGTTGAATAATTTCAATAATTGTTTTCCTGTCTTTGTTACAGCATTCCTCACTGAGGTGCCCACATACCCACACTGAGGCTGCTTTACCACACTGCCACTTTGGCTGTGCTTTTTTTTTTACTTCACTCCTCCAAGGGACCAGTGAATAACAAAGCCAAAGATCCCTTACCATTGCACTCTATACCTTAAAGAAACATAACTGAAGCATTTGACTCCAAATCCCTACTGCGTAATTATCTTTTACATTTAAAAATGCTGCTGCTAAAGAGCACTGTTCCCAACCAAATGACAATGTATCCTAAGGTGATGATGTTTTGTTCAGGACTATGTATATGACTGCCTGTAAAAGCCTATAAACATTTAATTCTCATGTTAATGGGCTTCATGACAGTGTTTTCCACTGCTATCACTCCTGTACTTCAAACTGTTTGGCAGTCACCTGGGACTGTATCAGACTGCTTTCAAGAATTTTTCTACACATGCTATTTGGAGTTGAATCCAATTCAGCTTATGCTCTACTGTATAGAAGTTGTTATCATTGCTCATTATCACAGACCCTTCATATATGAATTCTGTATGGTGACATCACTTATACCTAAAAATATAGCTACACAATACTACTATACTAATATTAAAGGCAACACACAAAACAAAGTAGAAAAATTCTGAAGTCCTGATACAATATTTGTGGACATATCAATAGGCTCCAACATCCTTCTATAACACTAACATGAAGTCATTTATGTTAAAAATGATTACTCTTAAAATCTTCCCCTAATGTAAACTGGACTTGCAAATTTATTATTATTATTATTATTATTATTATTATTACTATTTACTCATTTATCAATCGCTAGAAAGTAAAGGCCTCTGCACAAAATAAGCCACAAGCTGTAGGACTCTCTATCTTTACTTCTTACTCTAAGACCTTGGATATACCACTCAGCTTCTAGTTTCCTCATCAGGAAATTAAGATAACTGCACCTGCTTTTTCAAGGTATGGAAAGAACTGGAAGTAGCTTATGCAAAGTGTTTTACTCAATGTCTAGTATATAGGAAACTTTCAATAAATAGTACATGGTAATAATAATAAACCACTTCATTCCATTCATATATTTACTCTAGTTAGTACCCTTATCAATCCAAAAAATGAGTACTCATCTATTATTATTACCCATCACATTTACTGTCTCTTCACCCTTTACATTCCACTCATTTCTCATTGTCTACAACAGCCTCACTTTCTCCACTCACAAACTTATTTCCACTCATCTTCAGGAACGGCAGCTTTAACCAGCAGTTAGGGGGAAAGGTAGTTAAGGAAGAAACCACCTAACCTGTCACTCTGCTAAAATAAGCACAGTTATGTATACCTACTATATCCTTACCTCACACTAATCTTTATTCAAGCTTTTTGGAGGTCCATAAAAGTTAGGATTTAGTGTCTTTATCATGTCCTATAAACATAATGACTAAGTAAGTCCTATGTAAAGGAGTGGACAAAAAAGATGCAATTAATGAATTCTCAAGACACTCTAAATCCCAATGCTTTGTCGTCTCAGAAATCAATTCATGAGAACTCACCATGTAGCAGGAATGGGAAAGGATGAAACTAAATCTTTTCATTACTGGTACAAAACTAGTTTGAAACACCTGGATTTTCTTCTCCTTGTTATACTCAAATCAATTATTGGCTCAAGAACCATCCGAAAGATTAACACATGCTTTTCTGCAACTATGTTCTCAAATTCCAATAAACAGCACTTCCTTTCTGCAATAAACTAGTTTTTCAGACTCACTTTATGAAATATCTTCTCAATTTCAGTAAGAACAGGTGAAATAAGAGTAACTGCAACCTATCAAGTTTTATTTATGCATTATACTACACATTATATTTTTTAAAGATTTACTTTTGGGAAAAATAATAATGGCAATCTATAAAGTGCTCTGTTTAATATTCTCTCTTTAGAAGACCAAATGGAATTCCTGATTTAAATGTCTATCAACGTTAAATCTATATGATTTATTAAATACAACCTATTCATAAGATAAAAAGGTGTTTGCTGCCTTATTTAAACACACACTGCCACAAAATCAGTGTTTCCTTAAGTATCTTATATTTGAAATTGTCAAATTTTCCAAATACTAATCAGAATAATCTCAAACAAAATCCGCAAGGCCATTCAATTATGGCACAATAAATGAATGACAGAACATTTCATTTCAAAATCCCTGAGTTTTAGAATCTAACACCTAAGAGCATCTCCTTTCATTCCAGATTCAAAAGCACTTACAGCATTGAAATGCTACAACACACCTGTCTTTCAATTATAGGCATTACTTCAATGAAAAAAAATAGCATAAAAACCATGAAATGAAATCAACTCCACATAAAGCTATTGTATTATTCCCATCTCTAATCTGACTTGTAAATTAGATGTGTTTAACTTCCACTCTTCAGCAACCCACATATCTTTTTCCTGGCAGAATGGTTATGTTAGTTATACTGCATTCTGACCAAAAACGAGCCATAGTGGCAAGTGGCACACTGACAAATTGAATGGTACAGGCCTTGAATAAAGATTTCAAGGTAAGTCATGAGGGAATCTTTTTCTGTTTGTATGAACTATTATGTTTTATAACCTAGACCACCAGAGTTTTTGTTGAACACTAAGATAAAAAAAATGTTAAAGATTCACTGAGAAAAGAAATGGGATTCAACCTTGAGAGAATCTACCCACCTCTTCAGAGAATTTCCCAGAACTGCTTTCAAGTCCTCTATAACTGATATAAGTAGATGTATGTCAAAAGCAGGGACTCTAACCAAACAGAATATTGATTTGGTTTATAGAATACTTTGATGTTCCAGTTTTCTTGTGATTCAGTAATTTTAATGAATATATAGGTTTATTTCCAGTTCACACCTGCTCACTAAATCGTTTTAAGTAAATTTAGTTAATAGATCTTAAGTTATTAATTAGTATTTTAATTTATTAATCATTCTATGTAGAGTAGTACTGTACAGTATGATTTTTCTACTTACTACTGAATTCAAAAGCTTACACAAAAGAGTATTTTCCTAGAAATTTCTCGGTACTAACTTTTTGAAACTAGAAACATTATTTTCATACTCTAGGAATGAGTATTTTCAAGAATGCTCTAAGTAAAAATTTCAATGTGAAAATTATACTCCTTAATCTTTTTAGGTTAACTTTTTTTAGTTTGAGCAGATGTTTTTCTTTATAGTACTTGTCTTACAATAAGAAAACCTAATAATAAAAGGTGTAACTATGTAAGTTCCACAAATACTCAGGAACTTTAATGACTGATTACCAAAGCGATTACCATATATTATTATGGAGTAATACATTACACATTCCCCAACTAAAAATCAAATTTACTTCAAACACCCCCACCAAAAAAAAGTCATTTTTATTTAAGCAGAGTCATCAAGTCCTTCGAATCACAATAGGGCATGATACCATATTGGTGTCACATTCTGCCAGTCATCCAGAGAATAAGTGAGCCTTCTTTTTCAACTTCTTTGTCTACTAGAGCATCACTGGACCCAGCAGGCAGCTCACCCAGACAATTTCAGTAATGGATTTTGGCTTTCTGTGCATTACAGACGAAAATCTTTACGAAGTATCCAGTTTGTCTTATAGCTGAGAGTTTTGAACCTGCGGCAGATGTCACATACAAATTCTTGAACGGATTTTTATCATCTGCGTCACCTATAAAATAAGACAGTGTCACCAACAGTGTTGTCCTGGAGAACATCTATTTCAGTAATGCTAAGCCTTCTGCATCATAACTAACAGTCACTTATTTTCCTAAACAGTAGTCCACAAACTAGTTTCAGTAGGCCAGAATGCAGCCCACTACCAGTTGTCCTACAGCCATGATCTAACAATCAATTTTCTATTTAAAAACTTTTTTTAAACTTTTGATTTTTTAAAAAACTAGTATTTTGTGACCTGTAAAATTATAAGAATTTCAAATTTCATTCTCCATAAATAAGGCTTTAGTGAAACATAGCTATTCGTTCATTTATGTATTTTTCTATGGCTACTTTCATGCTACGATGGCAAACTTAAATAGATGCAACAGAAACACCATATGACCCATAAATGCCAAAATGTTTATTCTCTGGTGCTTTAAAGAAGTTTGCTGACCCCTAACCTACAGGATTTTTAGTGTGTAGGTAATATGATACCTAGTGTCTCTTGCATGAAGAACCTAAATGTAATCACCCAGTTGTTCCCATTTATTTCCATCCATTTGTTTAACACATAGTCACGTGCCACATAATGATGTTTTGGCCAACAAACTGCATATTACACTGGTCCCAGTAAGCAGAAACCCCAAGAGAATTCATAGTGAAGGTTTTAGCAGAAATTCTTACAGACCAACAAGCTCCTCCAAAGTTTGAAAACGTGGACTCCAACACTGAATGGTTTTAACTCCAACACTGAATAGAGAGGAATGTTCATGGTGCATTATTCACTTATAAGCAAACGTATGATTAAAAAAAGAAACAAACCAAGTAAAACAATAAGGACACAATTCTGAACAGAGGGACATCACAAAGAAGAGCCTCAGGCAGGTCCTTTGGGACATGTTCTAGAGGGTACTGTTATCAAAGGAAATGACAGCTCTATGCATGTTTTTGCCCCTAAAGACCTTTCAGTGGGACAAGATGTGGAGCTGGAAGACTGGTATTTATGATCTGACCCTGTGTAGTCCTAGGCTAATGTATAATTTAGTTTTTAACAAAAAAAATGTTTAAGAAGTAAAAAATAAAGATAAAAAATGTTAAAAATAAAGCTCATAGAATAAGGATATTATGAAAATATTTTGTACATTAAAATGTGTTGTTTTAAGCTGTTATTACAATACAAAAGTTAACATTTAAAAAGTATAAGTTAAAAAGTTACAGTAAGCTAAATTTATTATTGAAGAAACATACTTTTTAATAAATTTAGTGTGCAGTGTTTATAGAGTCTACAGTAGCATACAGTAATGTCCTAGACCTTCACAATCACGCACCACTCACTCTCTGACTCATTAGGAGTACCTCCTGTCCTGCAACCTCCATTCATAGGAAGTGCCCTACAGAGACATACCATTTTTTATCTTTTACATATCTTTTACAGTGGTATTTTTACTGTATCTCTTCTATGTTTAGATATGTTTATACACAATACTTACCACAATGTTACAACTGCATACAGTATTCACTATACTAACATAATGTGCAGGCTTGTAGCACAGGAGCAAGAGACTATACCATAGAGCCTAGGAATGTAATAGGCTGTACCATCTAGGCTTGCACAAGTGCACTCTATGATGTTCACACAACAACAAAATTGCCTAACAAGTCATTTCTCAGAATACATTCCAACTCATTTGTCACAATGTAAGATACATATGACTATATTTTTTTGATAAACCTGTCACTCTGTTGTACACAGCTACAGTCACTTTACTTTCTATTTTGGCTCAGCCTTGCCTCAATCCAAAGGGTCAATACTACCCTTGGGTAGAAAGAGGGCTAAAAGCTCAGCTTCTGGTCAAAGTCTAATCATCAACATCAGCCTTTGCTGTGTCCCCTACTTCCCTGGGTACTGGATTTCTGCTTCATGGCAACCCCTTTTCTATAACAGACTTCCTGTACTGGATTATCAGTCTTAAAAGTCTCTATTTCCTGCTAGCGACCCTAGGACAGTAGGCTGAATCATAGCATTCTTGAACTGAACTGTACCAACTAATCACCTCCCTAACAGCCACCCTGTGATGTAATTTGTTTGGGATCCCTGTGAAGACCTTACATATTTCAACACCCTCCTGGTCTCCATTACTCTTCCTAATCATGACTGCCCCTGGAGTTGTTCAATTTCCTTTTATGTTCAAACTTCTAACCTGTAAATCAGTAAAGTCAACCTTCCCAATTGACCTATCATTCTGTTTCTGGAGCTCAGTTCATATAATACCCAAGCATAAGAACACAACAAAATCCTATATAGATGGATTTCTCAACCTAGAAACATCCACTTTAAGATAATCTCTTTGGGTGGGCTGGAATGGGAGTAAAAAACAGAAAACTGTACTTGAACAATAATTAAATAAATTTTAAAAAAGAAATAAAATAAACTTATTAAAAAGGATAATCTCTTACTTTTTATCAACTGCTCCAAAAAGGGAATATACCACCTCCAAGTAGAATACCTTCTCCTTTTCCCCTCAATCATCCCAAAGTTTCTACACCTGTTTCATTTGAGAGTGTTTCCCACCACCCTCTACACACTTGGGGTGCCTAAGATACCTGTGGTTTTTTTAGCATAATTTCAGAATGAGGTATGCTCTTGCTTCTATTAAAGGTTTAATACTCCTGTTTCTATTGTAAGGATAAAAGGGGAGTTTCTTGCCACCAATGGACTGCAATGGAGAAACGCACCTGACCAGGTTTCTAGGAGTCAAAATATAATTCCCCACAGAAACATGTTAATAGTCCCCAATGAACTATACCCATACTATTAATGGAACTATAGCACCCATCATATAATATAATAATAATACTATTAATGGAACTATAGCACCCATCATATAATATAATATAATAATAATATAATATAATTCATATTATATCATTGCAAATAACTAATTCACAAATACATTTGTAAGTTGTAAACTGACTAGAAAATAGCTATGAAATATCAGGAAGACTCTACAATAGACAGATTAAGCCTAGTGAAAAGACTTAGAGAATGGTAGTTTATTTTCAGCAAAACAAATTTATCTAAAACCCTGAAGTAGCCTGCCATGCTGAACAGCTCAGAAAATCCCATGAATAGCTCACAACCAAATAATGGTATCAAGAATGAAGATGCTGACTGGAATGACCATTAACTGTATCTTGGTTCTGGAGAGCAACCATATAGTAAAAGTAAAGTATCAATCTTAAGTAAAAACAAAAATCTTTAAAACAAATATGGAAAACCTCTGCCTAGTTGGGTAATGGCATGGAAGTCAAGTGACATGTCCTTACAACCAGGAAAAGAAATTACAGGCATCAACTCCGTATTCCAAAGAAATACTCAAGAGATTAAAACTTTAAAACTTCACCCATCTGTTAAATCTAGCCTTTTCCCTTAAAGAAACAGTTCTTAAACTGCTAAGTATCAGTACTCCTACCCCGACTCAGAACAGCTCAGGCTGCCAGTTCAATGCCCAGTCAGGGCACACGCCTGGGTTGCAGCCAGGTCCCTAGTTGGGGGACATTCAAGAGGCAACTGATATTTCTCTTCCTCTCTTTCTCCCTCCTTCCCTCTCTCTCTAAAAATAAATAAATGAAATCTTTTTAAAAACATTGAGAAGTCCCAAGAGATTTTGCTAATATGAGTTGTAATTTTCAATATTTACCATATTAATAATTAAATGAGAACATTTAATTACATAATTCATTTTAAATTTTTAATAACATATTTAACATAACAAATAACATTTTAAAAACATTTTCCTAAACAAAAAAACAGTGACAAACATAATACTGTTTCACAACTTTTGCAAATTTCTTTCATGTCAAGCATAATAGAAGACACCCAGATTTTCATATCTCCTTCCATTCAATCTGATGTAATGTTGTTTTGATTGAAATATGAGAAAAAAGGAGTCCCACACAAATATGTAGCAGGTAAAAAGGAAATACATGTTATTATTAATAGCCTTTAAAGATAACTGTGGATGTTCTTCTTTGATACTACACCAAAACTGATAAGTAGGGGTTAACAGCTATAATATGGAATCTAATATGCTAATATGACATGAACATTTTGTATCATTACTTGCTTTTTATAGGGTCTTCCACCTATAATTTTGTAACACTGATCACTTTGAAAATATTGGTTCACTGAGTTATAAAGATATTCCAAATCTTGATATAATTAATATTAACTAATATTAGAGCAAAAACTCACATTCCCTAATATTTCTATCCCATCAGAAAAATCTTTAAGTATTGGAAAGCTGACAAGAGCACAGCAGGTAATATAAATTAAACAAAATTTTAATTTTTACTTGAAAGCTTAGATTTCATCATTGGCAACAAATATTGTCAATTGTTTTCCCTGAAGTGACAGGCTCACTTTGTTCACTTTCAAAGAAATGATGGCCAAATATCTAAGTCTAAAAATCAGTTTATCTAGCAGTCATTCTTTAGAGTAAAAATGATGTTTCATTCAAAATATGGCTAGTTCGGCTAACAACTCAAAAAATCACGTAAGAGTGTCCTTTGAGAAGACCAATATGGATATGCAGCATAAGTGCTTCTTGCATATTTCTTACCTCATCATGTGGAATATTAAAACAAAGTATACTCAAGGATGAAGATTTCATAAAATTAACTTTTACTGCTTCACTGAGGATACTCAAGTAAAATTAGCTTTTTAAAAAATTATGAATGCGTGGCATTGAAGAATACAATTAATAATACCTTGGCAACACTGTGATTTAATTCTACTATAATGCCCACAATTTTACCCACAAGTACTATACTATTATCAGGACCAATGTCAAAGTAGTCAAAAAAGCAAGAAGTAAATATCACTATGAAAGGAGTTTTAATGTTATGAATCCCCTGAAAGGATCTGAGGGACCTCCACAGGTCTGTTCACAATTTGATAACTACTGTCCTAAGAAAAACAATGAAAGCTATGAAGTTGCCATCCACAAATCC